TGTAAGGGGGGCCGGGGGGGGGGAAGGGTCCGGTCTTCTCCCCCCCTTCCCCCAATCCTCTTGTCGCCCCCCCCCCCCCTGCGCCTCTACAAGGTGGAAGCGCTTGCCCGCGATCAGGCGGCCGCCGCGCGTTAGCGTTTCCGCGTTTCTACCTTGGATCCAGTGCTACCCGTTGGTGACGGTTCCCCCGCCCCTCTCCGGCTAGGGGCGGCGGCGGCCAGAGGCGGCCAGGGGCGGAATTTTCCCCGCGTGCTCAGGCCCAATACCAAGACGATTGATGTTTCGTTTGTAGGGAGCAAACTGCTGATCGCGAAACGGACAGGTTGTTTAGGAGGCAGAAACGACAAGCTCGGAGGCGAACACCATGGGATTATACTCCTCATGTGCTTTCTCCCACGAGCTGTATCTCGCCCTGCAAGCCTCCAATCGACACAGGACATGAATGAGTGTGTTGCTGCGTTGCCGTTGGGCTATCTTGGGACGCACTGTGAAGGCGAAACGGTACACGGCAGTTTAGGCAAAAGGCAACTCGGGGGCCATCACCAAGCTACTGGTGTGGTCCGTGGATAACCTTCCTTACCCCACCACCTGGATCTCGTCCTACAAGACTCCGATTGATGCTCAAGCGCCGGGAGGAGCCTGATGTTCTGGGAGATGACACACATGCATGCAACCCCAGCACACCGGAAAGACTGAAAGACTGCAGCTGTGGGGGGAACAGGCACGAATCTCGCCGCACGGAAACCGAACACTGCTCTCTGTCTTTCTTGCAGACAGGCCAGTGAAAGCCTAGGCTTTCAACTTTCAACGCCGGGGACGCGGTGCCTGCAAGATCCAGCCCTACGATACTCCAGCGTGTTACTGCAGGAGGTTTCGCGGTACCTATCATGAAGCCGAAGTGGTCCACAGCAGTGTAGTGCAGCCAAGGCCGGTGGTCGGGGTAGATAACCTGTCCGTTTTCTCCCCCTGAATCTGGTCCTACAAAGACTCACTCGACCACAAGCAGCGCGGCAGGAGGTGTGTTGTTGATGCAAGCGCAACGCACATTTCACACAGGTATAGGAGGTGTGTGGTTCTCGCAAATACAGCACAGCACACACACCGCACACAGCACACAGCACACAGAGACACATAGAGACCCACAGAGAGAGAGAGAGAGAGAGAGAGAGAGAGAGTACCGGTGAAGAACAACGGGAGTACCGGTCAAATAGATAGTCCCTCCGTACCGGAAAGTTTCAAACCAGAAGATCCCGTATTCGTTGTACTTTTAACGGACCGAAGCCATCAAAGACACATGCTGTTGACATATTTCAAGCAGTATACAGTATGACATATTTCAACGGTGCAGGGCCTCGACATGCTACTACTGCTGCCGTGACGAGTCGGTGTGCACTCGTCGTGGTGGTTGGTAGTGTTGTGTGTGTGTTGTTGCTGTTTGCCCGTCTTTTTGTTTTGTATGCGCGACCCGTTGGTTGTGTTGTCCGTTGTGTGTCACGTATTTATTTGTGGCGTGCCGATAGTGCGCTGCTTGCCGGGCTTGCCGTGGCTATCTTCATGTGCCGGTACCGAAGGGGTCTGGCATGTTTCTGACATGTTCCTCCTCCGTGGTCGGTCCGCAGTCGGCAACGGTCCGCAGTCGGCAACCATGGATAGGAAAGATGCCATGGATACGGCGTTGCGAGGTTCTGAGACGTTCCGAGGCTATTCGATGTTCTGCGTGCGGTAAGGTGGAGGTCGATTTCCGCTCGATTTCCGCCGTCCGTATGTGGACAAAAGTGGGTACTATACAATTTGGACAAAAACAGTGGGTCAAAATACAGACACAAGTGGGTACATGAAAAAAATTGTTGACCCCAGTGGGTATACCCACCGCGATGTCGGACATAAGTGGGCACTCTGGTGAGGCTGAGGCCTTGCGCGCGTCGGCGGTATTAGGGCCAAAGGTGTGCCTAAAAGCAGTTAGTATTAGTAGTTATAAAAAGAGATCTCTCCAAGTTGGCCTCTCTCTCCACCGTACTGCTGTACTGCTGTATACTGCTGCAGCTTGGTACATATATGTGTGGCAGCAAGGTGTGCGCACACTGGGCGGAGTTTCGGAATACACGTAATCTCCTCGGAACAGCCATATATCAAGGCCTCCCCGTTCGAAGATATCTACCCCCACCAGTTTGAAATAGAAATTGGATTTCCACGGAGATTCCTGAACCATGGTTGGTTCGGGACAAAAATAGGCAAATAAATATGTATCAAGGAACCGGGAACGCGAGTTTGAAATATGTTATGTGACAACAGCAGTCTACCAGATACAAGCAGTATCACCTTTTTGCCTCACACGGGTGGGCGCCCACTGCGATAACCAACCGGTAGCGCTGGGGTTATTCAGCCGGGGGCGGCGAAGCCTGCACGACCGCGCCATGCGAACGGCTGCTTATGATGCACCGATGAAGCCACACGACACACCACGGCGGGTTGATATAGAAAGAAGCCGACCTTAAAGAATCGAAAATAATCGCGGTAATAGCAAGCAATCGTCCACGAATAGATTACCAGAGCACACAACACGCACACGCTTCCCCCGAACACACAACACAACACGCAAGCACACGCTTCCCCCGAACACACAACACGCAAGCACACGCTTCCCCCTCTTCCCTTTATTCTGGCTCGACAAGGCCAAGGAAAGGACACACCCGTTGCAGGACTCTAACCACACCCGGTCACACGAAGAGGTGAGCATTTGTGAGCTGCTTTGTTTACGCTGCGAGAAGCAAGTAATGGCAACACAGCAGAGAACCTTTTTTTTATTTCGAAGTTTTGCCCGGTCTTTTGCTGCTCCTACCTACCATACAGCGGTTTGGGACGCCCGTGGCCCGTTGTCGCGCCATGGTCTAGTTTCGTCTCATGACCTTCCACATCTTGGGAGAGTGATGTGGACTACGCTGTTCTCGGGTCTATCTACCTTGGAGGATACGCAGACCGAGGGGTACAGGATAGAGAGCTTCACAGCAAGCCATTCGGACAAACCTGTACACATCGTACCAACAACATTCCACCAGCTTCTTTACCCCAGCAAAACACATATGTAGTCACATGCACACAGATGGTCTTTGCTGAACCTGCTCCCCACAGGGAAGTTATCGCTGTATATACTGCTTGCTCGGGGAATCGTAGAAGCACACAGGTTTGGTCATTCAACGCGTCGCAGCACGTTTTCGTAGGTGGCATGACGTAAGATAGCACACCCCCTGGATCAATGTTCAGAGCCCGAATACTCTATATCTACAACGAAAGATGTCACCATCATTAAATGATTCCTTTCAGAAAGCTTCTTGCAGAGAAGGTTCCATCCCCGCCATTGTCGGCATCATCACAGTTTCCTACTTTCCTACAGAGGAATCGAGCTTTTTTATTTTTTCAACCGATGTGCATGCAACCGTTGATTCCTACACAATTTTCCCGCACATATTTTTTTTTTCCTAACCCTTTTGAGTCTTCAGGCGTTCTCACGTTCTCACTGATCATTGATTGATCATTTGCAAATGCTGGTGTAGTGGCAAGTCGTGGAGTTGCCGCCCTGCAGCCCTTCGCGCCGTGTATTGGCAAGTCCATAGGTAGGTGTGTCTAGATTATTAGCACCCGCGCTACCCAGCTGACCAATGAAGAGACGTCAGTGACAGCGGGTAATATCAAGGTCTCGGAATAGGGCCAATCAATATGCCAAATCATGAATATCTCAACGTATGTACAATGAACGCGTGTGTGCATACATGCATACATACATGTGTGTTCTTTCGCAGCACCACACATACCTTCGCCCGAACGCAGGAAGCCACTGCTGCAAAGAGCAGAGAGCAGCAAAAGGGAGGGGTATTGCAAGCCCTGCCGGAGCCCAGATATCGAGGATATCATGGTTCCCAACATTTTGAAAATCGTTCCCAAGATCCAGCAGTCATTATTGTGTCAGCAGCTACAACGAATGCTACAACAACACTACTACTACTGCTGTAGACGAGTAAAACATATCAGCAACACATCCACACTCGTAGCGCCACACATACCACCCTTGCCCGAACCTAGGAAACCACGAGGTACGGGTGTGTGCGGGTGGATGTGCTTGTTTGAAAAATACAGGAGCTCTAGAGAGCTGGTAGGGCACATTTCGGGGGGGGACAGAGAACAGAGAAGTACAGAAGTACAATTACCAGCTATGGGTCTTCACTGATCATTTTGCCCTGTCTGGACTGATCATTTATCATTTACAGTATACCGAAAATAGACTAGTTGAGGCAGCTAGACGACTGATCATTTCAAAGTCTACACAGCCAACCTGCCCTATACTGACCGCAGCGCGACCACCCATCAACCCTTCTACGACCGACCCTGTCTGTGGCCACCACCCTGTCGCCGGCTTCCCTCATGGCCTACAGGTGGAGATAGCTGTTGCGTGTGCAGAAGTAAGTACGCTGGTGTCTTTCTCTGCACTTCTCTCCCGCTCGCTCTCGCTCTCATTTTTGTTTTTGGCGTACAAAAAAAAGTCTGGACAGTCTAGCTTAATATGACACAACGAATCCATCTCTATCATAGACAAGAGTCACATTTTTTCTGTGGATGATGGGCTGTTTCATAGGAACAATAAATACGAACACAAAGACTGATGAACACACTTCGGAGACGCAGGGAAGATGGTGTCGCTGTGTGCCGCTAGGGAGTCGTGGAAAAACAGGTAGCTTCCGCTGACGCTATGGACTCATCGCTAATCTTTCTTAGACTCTTTTCAAAAGATAGAGATGGATTCGTCGTGTCATAAAGTATAAGAAGACGAATACTCCGCGCCGACCTCTGCTGAAAATGAAGGGCCAGCAGGCCGTTTCGCCAACACGATAAGAACTGCTGTATGTATATAGTGTAGTCTACACAGTGTATACTACACACAGGTAACCGCCCACACCTATGTGTTAGGATGATCCGAACTGGGGGTAGCTTGTCGCAAGACGTGTGTTGAATAGGGTGTCGGCAACTCGGCGAACTCGCGCCATTAGACTACTCAGTCAGCGCTGACTGAGTAGTCTAATGGGTAAGCCTTTCTAACACTATGCACAAGAACCTGTACACTGGTGGCCAGAGGGGCAGGTTGGGCACGAACTACAACCTGGGGGGGGGGGGTTGGGAGGCCGAGTTCGACCTTGAACCCATTTTTTCTTCAGGCTTGCAGCCCGCCGTGTTGATTGCAATAACGCTACTATCCAAGATGCGGGATACCTTGCACGCTTTGGGCTGCATCCTCCCTACAACCTCCCCCCCCAGGTTGTAGTTGGTGCCCCAACCTACGCACAACCTGCCTCTGGCCACCCGTGCAGTGTTGCCAGTGCTGGGGTTCTTCCAGTGTAGTTCGTAAAGTTATGCTACGAACGGCCGCTACATAAGCCTTAATCCGACCTCGCGAACCGTGCCTAAGTTCTTAGATTTTCGACCTTTCTCGAGCCGAGGCTTCATAATTCTGAAGTGCTGGCGCTAACTGTACCCGATGTACGACCTTTCCTCGGTCGGCGGGGGCGGGGGCGGGAGGGGGGGGATGTACTCATAGCCGTTCATGCCGTAGTAGTCGTTTGACCATTGACCTCGCATCCCTACAAAACCGGGACGGAGCATGCCGGGTTCTCACCGGACCAGGCTCTCACATCACCAAGCGCGAAGCGCCGTGAGGTATTTGGCGAGTCACATGAAGGGTGCGCTCATCCGGCTAAGGGTGTGCGGCATCTTGTGCTTACTTCTTGCATACGGATAACAGCTGCGTTTGACTTAGTTTATTTTCTGGTGCTTTCACTTCCAGAGACAGTTATAAGCACTGTGTAACTGCCTCGACGGTGCTTGACCAAATTAACACCACGTGGTGCGATTATCCCCTCTGCGCGGAGTGAGGGTTCTCGACCCGGCACAACATAATCTACTCGACCACCACCCATGGTTACCGCCAAAAAAACAAAAACAGAGGTAAAAAAACGAAGCGGTAACCTGGTTGCCGAGTTCACGAAGTGATCGGCTTGTTTTACAACGTCGTTGCCAAGCGACGAAAACCCGACCCCGAGGACACACCGAGGGGGGGGCGTGTTTTACACGTCGGAGGCAAGCGACGAAAACCCAACCATGATGGCACACACCGGTGGAGGGGAACGGCGGGAGTAAATGAACCATCTACAATAGACGAAGCGGCCTAAAAGCGCATCGACACCTTAGCTACACCATGCAGGTCGTGAGGGCCGCGTGAACCTCCCTCAACAGGCACTCATGGGACTTAGGGTTAGGGTTAGGGTTTAGGGTTAGGATTAGGGTTATCAACGCAGGATGTGCCAAGTGAACAAATATCGGACCGGCTCTATGTCAATCACCTCTAACCCGTTGCCTCAGCCCGCTGTTGGCGGGGATCATCCTCCCAGCTCGTTCGTGCCGCATACTGGGGGAGAAGAAGAGGCCGGCGCTGACGTGCTACATACACGCCAGCCGACGCTATTCGGAGGGAACGTTACTTACCCTTGCTAGCTATATGTATTGTGAAAGTTCTCCCTCTGCGAGGCGGCCGTTCCCTATGTAGGCATCATACGCTGGTCCACTGCGGGTAGGAGAACCAGCGACTTGCTTGCTACATTGGCGGGCGGGCGGAGGCACGGCCGCTATTGCGTGGCCACACAATGGATACTTGACAGGGAGAAAAACGTTGCTACGGCTGCTGCGGATGCACGGCAAAAAACGAACCATTAAACCCCTTGGGTGCGTGTTCGGGTTAATCAGCAGAACACAAACTTCCGACTGCCGTTAACCCTGCCCGATGGCTCGACTCTTTTCGGTCAGTCATTGGTAACTTTTCGCATCTCTGGGTGGCCTACGTATCCAAACCCCACGCCTACACCCCCCATACTCTGCTGTGCATGCTTTTCCCACGCTCCTTGCTACCTCCATGGACGGACATCGAAGAAAACATACCGAAGAGGTCTATTGGCAGACCCTAAAGTATACCACTGTTTAGTGCTCATCTCTAGATACCTGAAATCGATGTTTGTGATCCGATGTTTAGTCGCTCACGGTCTGAAGCCCAGGAAACGCCAAAAGCGAGCGTGGCGAGAGTTCAACAGTCTGTTTACCAAGTACTCGCCACGACAGAGGAAGGACTCGGGACGCGAATCGTCGGCGAGCCGAACAATATGAGAGCCACCTTGGTGGGCTCACATTTCTCCAGTTACCCACAGAATATCGCGAGCCCTGGTACCATGGCCCCGCACCCACGGAGAGGCGAAGCGCCCCACGAGGCGAAGCCCTCGAACGACGTGCCTATTTCTGGCGTCTAGGTTCATCTCCAGCCCCGACGAGCATGCGATTTGCAGCACGAGTCCGAGCGACGCAGTAATAGCGTTCTCCAGGAATCCAAACGCAATGATGTGAGAACGAAACCGATCCATATCCGATCGCGTACCCAAGACGATGAGAAGCCCCGCTCGCAGTGCGTCTATTACTAGGCAGCCAAAACCTTGGCGACCCCGCACGAGTTGGTACCCTGAAACGTATTCCACCCCAAGACGACCCGTCTTTTCGTAGACCCCTCATCGCCTTGAAAAAGAAATTGTGGACTTTCTTCTCCGACTCCGAACGAACGCAGGACAAACCGCGAAAGATGGGCTGGCAAATATGTTGGCAAATCATCGTCGTCATCATGTCGTACGGGTTGGCAAAGTTTGCAGTGAACGACGGACATGCGAGGTCGGCCGGAACGTACCGGCAAGTTAGGAAGAAGGAAGAAGTTTTTATTTTTTCTTTCAATAATCCCGACACAGCTCCACACCTTGATTCAGACCCAGAGAGACCCCAAAGAGGGAAAAAATCGCGAGAATTTTCTGATCCATGGCCGAGGCAGTCCACACTACGCTTGAGTGGTGTCTGAAAGCTGTGAAACCGCGATGGACATTGCCTGTTTCTAAAAAATGACTCCTTTGTAATGGTCGTCCCAAAACCCAATAATGACGACTGAAAAGGCAGAAATAAACTATTGGCTGAAATACATAGCAAAGAACACGCAACCGATTTGTTCGAATTTCCGAAGCCGGATCGGTGGCCGTGTTCCAGAGTTCGCCACCAGGGGCGAGCTCTTACCTTCTTGAGAGTATCACCTCGACTGTTCACTGACACAGGTCTGTAACAACCTGGCATGCAGGACGCCCACTTTGCTCTAGGTTTGCCAGTCAGATGCTTCTTTTTTTTTTGGTTGGAAGAAAGGGTAGACTACAATGTGGAGGAACGCCTTCTCGTCGTAGTTGTGTTGTGCTGGGTTGTTGCAACTACCATTAACCAAGACCGCTGTAGGTGTCTTCGACAACATTGTACAGCAGTGTGTGTTACAGCAACGGCAGCATCGTACGACTGGAAGGACGCCCATTGTTGCTTGATCGTTAACGTGAAAACCGGTCACCTAGCGGCGGTAACAACAATAGAAGAGCGGCTTAACAGCATTACCGTGATCGCTGTTGTGTTCGATGTACTCGCATGGTTTGTCGAACCCTGCGTTCAGACGTTTAAGTACTTCTCTCTACTCTCTATGGATTGTCTTACTGGCCACCCCATGTGCGCCTCCACCGCGATAGCAGCGCGTCAGACTCCTGTAGTGCCCCTGAACGTGCAGGCCGTGGCTTCGCGACTATTGTAATGAAAACTTATTTGGCCGTTGCAGGTGGTTTAAGAACATCGATTCGACGAGCGGCTCACCGGGGTGCCCAATGGGGACGGGGTGGACAACAAGCGTACGGGTGCTTAGGGGGTGGCTACTTACTTGGTGTCTGGTGGTGTGTCTGAAGACATCCTCCATACATGCCGCCGGGCCGGACGCCGAGCCGGACGAGGCCGACAACGTTGTCGTCCATACGATGGGGTTGGCCAACGACACCGTCGCGGGCACCCTTCCGCCCATAACAAAGGACTCTTCTTGCTCTGACATGCTCGCGTGGTTGCCTCCTCGATCAAGCCCGGCGGTGGTGTTCCAAGTCGTGTCCGAACCTTACGCCAGCCTGGAAGAGAACTTTATCTCGAACATGGAGCTTCATTCGACATTCTCCCGAGAAAACCTGTACCTAGTGTGCCTCGACGAGGAATCTGTGGCGATTTTCGACGGCCTGGGGATACGTTGTGTTCGGTATGGCTGCTTGGGATGCCCAGTGTCACGAGGCGATATATGGGTGCTGAGGATTGACGTCACCATATGTTTGTTGAACGCTGGCCAAGACGTATTGATGTCGGATGCCGATGCAATTTGGCTCCGCGATCCGACGGATGACTTGGCTTCAGATGCGTTTCTGGACAGCAACGTCGTTGCATCGAGGGCCGTAATGCCTTTCCCGTTGTATCACAAGTGGGGAGCAACTATCTGCATGGGTTTTGCGTTCTTTCGGGCTGGTGGCAGCGCAATGCAGGCGTTCATGACGGTCGTGGAGGAAATCGCGAATGAGTTGGGAAACGACCAAATCGCTGTGAACGAAGCGTTGAATAAGCTCGATGTCGTTTGGGATCCAATGAGTGACATGAACTTCACGGATAACACGCGACCAGGGACGGGCGTGATTGAAAATATCACTGTTGATGGGGGTTCATTGAAAGTAACTCTGCTGCCGCATAACAAGTACACACGAAGCTGCCGGCGGACACCAATTTCAAACGACACGATCGTGGCGCACTGTGTCAGTAGTGACAAAGGAGAGGGGATGGCTACATGGATGAAGGAGGCACATCTGTGGAACCTTCCCGACGATAACGACAGCGGCAGAGATTGATGTGATGGGGGAGGTTCGTGTCATAGGCACTGACAGACGATGTCAACCGTTGGGTAGTGCGACCGTCGGTCGCGTAAAGAGTTTGCCGGCATGTGAATGAAAGCCGTCGCAGAAGTTCTTGTTGCTGTTTGAAGTGAATACTACATCGTTCTGCGGTAGGTTCGTTGGTGTTGTGTTATTGTTGAATGTACCGTGGTAGGTGTTGGGTGGTAGCGTATAAGGAGATAGATGCTCGGTGGTGGATTGGTGTGTCATGAATAGGTGTAAGTAGAACTCCGATCTATGGGGCAAGGGCCTCAGGGTTAGATGCCCAGTCTATTATAGGCTACAATAATATGTGAATGCTATGCGTAACATGGACGTGACGCGCTAGAGGTTATTCTCGCGTCGCTCAGACTCTACCAAAGGAACTTGAGTCACTCCTCTTCTGTGTAAGGCGCTCTCGACCAGAATGTGATTGGGACGTGGTATGCTGTATATATATGTACTAGGGTTAAGGATTGGCCCCCCGCCCCCCAATGGGGCTGGGGGCCAACATCTAGGACGGATGGTGGTGAGTGTCCGGGAGGAAGGAAAGAAGAAGGGGAGAGGATTTGTAGGGGCGGGAAGAAGGGACGGTGTTGGGAGAGGCAAGGAAGTGGTGAAGAATTTCGGCACTCGACGAGCGCGCGGTCCCGTCGGGGGTGAAAGGGAAATGTCAGTCCGTAGTCTTGTCTATCGGAATCGAAAAGCCGAAAACTCGAGGTATACATTATGTGCATAACGATGGAGAAGGCCGACGAGGAAGGTACGAAGAGAGGAAATTGCACCCCACGTTCGAAGTCGGTGTGAAAACCGCGGCAAGGAAGGAGTGCGAAGGGAACAAAAAAAAAACGGAGACGCCGACGTTTGCGTCGTGGAACGATCCTTCCGTACAACGCAGGTACTCACCAATGCAAGACGGGGAGGTAAAATACCCATCGTGAAAGTCAAAGTAGCGCAGGTCATCATGTTATCATCATGTTATATATAAACTCACAGGATGGTCGTCGTGCTTTATACATTTCTTGTTATTAGTATGGAAAAAAAAAAATATATATGGCTCGATTTTTGTGTTTCTACAGCAGTATGGAGCAGACGCCGACTGTACATGGAAGTCGTACGAGTGTCGACTCAGTTGTGCTGTCACAGCATCTTCCACGCACTTCTGCCAGTGCTGGTTTGTCGATTGGAGTCTTGTAGGTCGAGATACAGCAGTGGGATTCTCGGGTTGTGGAGGCAAAAGTGAACCAGCGCAAAAAATTTCATGCATACTGTAGCTCGATTACTGCTGTGTGTTTGCAACAGCAGTATAGACTAGACGCCGAACGACGTCCGCGTACTACCGCAACGACCTAACTGGATGTGATACTTTCTGCCACGGCGAACCATAGTACAGTGCGATGCAAACATCCGTTCGTGTGTCGCGCGGCTGCCACATGTGTCGACGACAGGTACACGTAGAGCTCTCGCCATGTTGTCGTTACCGCGCAGGCGGAAGGACCCCTCGGAGATCTTCCACATGGTGCTACAACGACAGCAGTACTACTGTACATATATGTCGTAGGAGAGTGGAGTTGTGCTGTCACGGCATCTTCCGCGCACTGCTTGCGTCGATTGGAGTCTTATAGGCCGAAATACAAGAGTGGGTTGGGTTCCAGGTTGTGGAAGCAAACCTGCCTGCAACAACAGAGAAGGCGGTGTTCTATTTACTAGAGTATCCCGCTCAACTTTTTTTTTTGCGACATGTGGTTGCATATTTCTTTGCCACTGCCGAAAAAGACCGCTGGATCTTTACGCAGTCCATCTTTCGCATTTATCATTTTACACCGAACGACGCAGGGCGGGTCGACCTTCATCATCATCATTGTTGTTGTTGTTGTTGTCTTCACATGAAAAACCGTTCCGATCTCTCTCTACCCAGTAACTTCATGTCCGTACTTACTTGTGGATTACCTGTTGGAAATTGTGGGAATCCCTTCATTCCGAGAGAGCCACAGGTCGGCATCCGGCCTTTTCTTTTTTTGTATGCACTTTTCGTATATGCACTTTTCTTCCTGTGAAGTTTTGACGTTGCGCTTGCCATCGTCGCTGAAGTGTTTGTGGCTTCAAACCTTCTCAGCCGGCCTTCAAACTTCTTGCTTGTTGATAAGTCTCCGTGGTAACTTCTCCGCGCATGAGTCATATGCAGTTATGACCTGCGCTACTTTGACTTTCACGATGGGTATTTTACCTCTTTGTCTTGCATTGGTGAGTACCTGCGTTATACGGAAGGATCGTTCCACGACGCAAACGTCGACGTCTCCGCTTTTTTTTTTGTTCCCTCCGCACTCCTTCCTTGCGGCGGTTTTCACACCGACTTCGAACGTGGGGTGCAATTTCCTCTCTTCGTACCTTCCTCGCCGGCCTTCTCCATCGTTATGTACATAATGTATACCTCGAGTTTTCGGCTTTTCGATTCCGATAGAGACAAGACTACGGACTGACATTTCCCTTTCACCCCCGACGGGACCGCGCGCTCGTCGAGTGTCGAAATTCTTCACCACTTCCTTGCCTCTCCCAACACCGCGTCCCTTCTTCCCGCCCCTACAAATCTTCTCCCCTTTTCTTCTTCTTTCCTTCCTCCCGGACACTCACCACCATCCGTCCTGGATGTTGGCCCCCAGCCCCATTGGGGGGCGGGGGGCCAATCCTTAACCATAGTGTATATATATACTCAGGATGGTCGTCGTGACGTGATACATTTCTGGCTATTAGTATGGAAAAAAAAAAAGATGGCTCGATTTTTGTATTTCTACAGCAGTATGGACCAGACGCCGACCGTACATAGAAGTCGTACGAGTGTCGACTTAGTTGTGCTGTCACAGCATCTTCCACACACTTCTGCCAGTGCTGGTTTGTTGATTGGAGTCTTGTAGGTCGAGATACAGCAGTGGGATTCTCGGGTTGTGGAGGCAAAAGTGAACCAGAGCAAAATGTTTCATGCACACATAGCTCGATTACTGCTGTGTGTTTGCAACAACAGCAGTATGGACTATCTATGTAGTCAAACCCACAAAGCATTGGACACACACGAAAGGGAGGAACGGGTGGGGGGCGGAGGGGAGTGTGGTGTCTACCAAAATTTTGACTGATGTGTAGACATCAAACCGTGAACAACACGATGATCACAACTGCGGTTCCCAAAAATCCTTAAACCCTCCATCACCTTTGAAACCTCGCGCGAAGATCGCGCCTCTTCCCGATCTTCATCACCCGCCCTTCTCGAGATGCCTCAGGATTTGATGTCCATAGTCGTGTGAGGTTCTCGGCTGCATCGGGGAGCAAGCTGATGCCTGGAATGGACACCGTGATGTGTCCGTCCGGAGTACCGCAGTAGTCTAATGATCCAAAACCCGGGATACGGGATACGTGGGGAAAATGGATTGCCCACAATCTACAGTAGACGTCCCCGCTCCCGTACCGAAGGCTTTTGTGGTGCTGTTCCAGACGGTACCATACAGTAGACGCTCAACCAATCCTCACATACTCCGTATGCAAAACTTGGACAATGTACACAACAACACCTATGGCCAACGGGTGGGACTTATGCTACTGTTGTGGTGTAGGATTTCTGAGCGCAGGGGCATCAACCAGCACGTCACGAAAGCTCGGAGAACCAACGCGGCGGAATAATTCGTGAATTCGAATTGAGCGCCGAAACGGAACCATCGCCACTACTACATCGATACAACCGTCATGTCAAGCAATGAGACCTAGTCAAGCAGTCCGAAACTACAAAAAACGTATGGTATGGTATTGCGTAGAGTAGATAAATACCTGTTCAGACCACAGATCAAGCACCACATGGCTCAGACAGCCGTATCGGCCTTGTCCAACGACAGTAAAACTGTCTGTCTGCTGTTAAAAGCGATCGCCGATCTTCTGTTGAGCCCCTCGGGGAGATATTTGGCAACTTTAGATATGCAGCAGTCTACAGTACACATACATATCTACAGTAGTTGGATTGTGTAGCGACACTTTTCCTTTTACCAGGAGCCGTAGCAGCACGACGAACGGGTACGTTCGCGGGAGGGGAAAATATGGAGAGAGCGAGAGGAGAGGAGGAGGAGAGAGGGAGAGAGGTGGCGGAATTCCACGACGCGAAAAAAGTGTTGCTACAGCATGCACTGTCACTCTGGCAAAGCCATGAACAGGCCAAGCACGGAAAGGCATGCCACATCGCTGTAGTTGTCGCCGTGACGATATGTACTTGTCGTTTCCTAGACGGTCGCCGCTACGGAAGGGAAAACTAGACTATATGCTGTACCAGTGATACAGACCTCAAGTACTTCACAGTCTATGCATGTGGTACAGCAGGGAAGAGACTCGTGTGGGAGTGTGAAGTACCTCGAGGGCGAGAGTTGAGGAAGCCCCGCCCATACCTTTACATCTACTCACTTTGCCCCTTCCTTAGCCCTCTGTTATAGCTGGTCTTGTCTCCCGTCGTGCTCGGGAGATGCTGTTGTAGCTGGTCTTGTCTCCGGTCTTGCTCGGGAGATGTGGACGCGGAGAGATCCGTGTAGAGTAGAAAGTGCTGATGATGATGTATGTATAGTGTGGTGTAGGTTTGGGAGTTGGGATGGCGTGCCGCTTGCTTTGGGTCTTCAACGCGATCAGACCCGTGCAAACAAGTCGATTTGTGGTTGGAGTACAGAAGTGATCTGCAGCGCCAATCCACGGCAGGCCAAAAACAATATGATCGTTACACGCATGTCGTCGGAAGCTCTGCATGCAGATAAAAATAACGACGTGTGTGTTGTGTGGATTTTTCCAATTGGATTTTTCTGCATCCAAAATCCGAAAACCGTTTCACAAAAATTGTGCAGGGGGCGAGGGGCGGGGGGATGGAAAGTCCAGAAAAATAAAGCCATCCAGGCCTTCAGCACTCCCTGAGCCGCTGCGCTCACCGCACACACCGCGCTGCTGTGCCGTGTTGTGCAGTTCCGGTGGAACTGGACGCTGCGTTTCGAGAGCTGCTGGCGCCTGGGCGGTTTATTGGGAGGCCAGCACGTCAGGTTTGTGAAGTGGATCAGAACCACGTATGTACAGCAGTGCCACCACAACATCCTCAACGCCTTTCTGTTTCAAAATGTCGTTGAATTTGGCCTTCCGGCGAGGACTAGCACCGCGCGAATGACGCTGGGCTACACCCCGGTGTGTTATGGCTGGTGCTTGTAGATCTTTGTGTGGACCACTTGCGTGGACCTACTCTGCGGCAATCGAGGGTGTGCCATAAAGTTTCTCGACATGGGGTATGCTACCATGTTACCACTTTTTGAAATCGTGTTTGGCTACGAGCTGCGGAGCCATCCCCCACACACACCTTCTCTACGAATGCAGCAGTACTCCATGCATCTCTCGTTGTCTCCTGGTTCCGTCGCGCCCGCTTTCTTTCGTTTCCTGCGTCTCCAAATATGATCCTCCTACTGCTTTGTCTGCCAGTTTGTAACAGCTGTTAGACTGCAATTGCTTCTTATGCTATTCAGCGCACCCTCTCGGTGTGTGTTGCCTCTACAGCAGTATTTTCCCCCATCGTCAAGCCCATGGGCTGCGGAGGTCAGACCTCTCCTGCATGCACACCGCATAGCACTTGTAGCGTGTTTGCTCCGTGGAAGATTTCAGGGTAGGCGTCCTTCGCCGGTGGTTGCGTTCTTTCGGAAATACAGCAATAGTTTCATCATACATGCGTGCTTCTGTATGTCTCCAATAGACCCATATCCTTCTGTACCAAAGGTGGCCCAGGAGGCTGTGGCAGTGCACAGCAGTACTGCGGCTGGCCTGGCGGACAAGACAAGCAAGTGTTTAAACACAAATAACAGCAGTGATGGTGGTGGTCAGCAAGCATGGAGCTAGTTGTACGTTCCGCGTACTGCTATTTCCGGCCAAATAACGTGCTCTCTGTCACTACTTATGTTTCCTAATACTTGTTGTAGTTGCTTGACCTCGCACCCCTCCCGTCAGTGCCGCGAGGGCTTGGGAGGTTACTGGAGCTGGTACTATTACTGTAGTTTTGGTACTACAGTAGCAGGTGTTGTACTCTACTGCCAGGATGGCGCATCACCGCCGGTTGGCGAGTCTGTGCAACTGCTGTCGGCTCAATGAGAGCTTGGTTGGTTGATTCGGTGTAGCATCCCATCTTGCGGTTGCTACAATGTACCACGGCGAGCTCGCCCTACATTCTGGAGACGCAGATGTGGTCTTGGATATACCTGCCGGTTCTCGCTTGAAATTACCGCTGTTGTATTCTCACCATCACAAGAGCAAAAACGAGATATTCACCATCGTCGCCCCGTATTGTCACGGTGGTTGTTTGGGGGTTCCGTGGATGATGATATGGGTACATACGACGGACATGGCACGCGGAGCCCGTCTTGCCTCCCTCACGTCTGTCACCCTCTAAGCAACAAAGTTCTTGAATCAAACTTATTTCTTCGGCCTGTGGCATACCAACAGCTACTGCTGTCTCTGAACGCAGCTGACCCCCCCCCCCCGGTGCACGCTTGCTCGTTCGCGCAACAACCCTGCAGGGCGACTGAGTTTTTTTACATTCTACGGCCCTTGGAAAGGGCTGCTGCATAGCTCATCCAAGGGAGAGCAAGTCAGCTCCCAGTATGTTCGGCGCGGGGGCGGGTGGTACCCCCGCTTCGGCCCCTTCCGGCGGAGCCGCCTTTTCCTTTGGCTCCACAAAACCCGCCGCAGCAGCGGCGTCTACGCCTGCCGCCGGGGGCTTCAGTTTCGGATCGACACCGGCCGCGGCACCGGCTGCCGCCCAGGCCCCCGCCCCCGGATCAGCGTTTTCCTTCGGCGGCTTCGGAGCTGCTTCTAGCGGCACCGCTCCCGCCGCCGCCTCCGCCGCCGCCCCGGCCGCCTCAACTTCCGTGTTCGGCGGCGGCGGCGGCCTCGGTTCGGCGGCACCCGCTCCCGCACCGGGAACATTCGGCGGCGGTGGTTTTGGCACGACGAAACCCGCTCCCGCGGCGGCAGCGTTCAGTGGCGGGTTCGGCGGGGCGAAAAATACTGCTTCTACCGCCGCCCCCGCTGCCGCGGGGGGCTTCAGCTTCGGGAAGAGCCCCGCTCCCGCTGCCGCTGCGCCTGCCGCCGCGGGCTTCGGTGGGGGCTTTGGTTCGGCCGCCACGGCGCCGGCGGCCACGACGTCCGTGTTCGGAGGAGGAGGACGGTTCGGGGCTGCACCAGCTGCCGCGGCGCTGGCGCCTGCGGCCGCCTCCGGTGGATTTGGAGGTACGGCGGCGGGAACACCGCTTTCTTTCGGTGCCGCTGGAGCTACCGCTGCAACGGCTCCTGCTCCCGCCGGTGGGTTATGGGTTTCTAAATAATGTTGGGGAGGGAGGGGGAGAGGCCGGGACGATTGCACCGCCGTGATGGAGGTTTGTTGAGGTGCCGTGCGCGATGCACGTCCACCTTGTTATGTCATGTCATGCCTTTGAGTGGAGGGTGTTGCTTTTTACCAGGATGCAGGAGAAAGTTTACCAGTCAGAACGACGTGTTTTCGGAGGCCGCGTACGTAGGCGCCTGTGCTTCCAGGACGGAAGAATTGTGGCCGAATTCGTTGGGGCTTTTGTTCACCCACGGACACGTAGTTTTACTGCTGTTGGTCAGCCGCTCATTCCACTGCGAAAAAATCAGCGGGCTTCCTGGAGCAAGTGCTTCTTTTTATTCTCTAAGGCGCCGTAGACGCAACTGACTTCTGCCCAACACCGTAGGTTCCCTGCTCTTCGAAGGTACAGTACCGAATATCGGCGAACACAAGCTAGTAAATATCACACCAACATGCGCACATCAAATCAGAACGGGTTGTTTCTGTTGTTCCTCCCACTACTGTGGTGCTGCACAAATCCCAACCCCCCCTCCCCCCCGCCCGTGTAGAGAAGATGCCAGAGAAACCAGGACCGCTGTATTATTTGCTCGATTTCTGGACCGTCAACGCATAAGGTGCCATGCACATGAGGCGTGGTTTCACAATCTCTGCCGACCGCATGAAGAAGAATCGCAACAGCCTCACTTTGTACGAGTCTGCAGAGTAATGTTGCGCGGTACGATCCGCGCCATGGGAGCCCTGCTGCCCCCCCACCCCCAGCTCCCTTTCCTCTTCTAACACCTCGTGACCTGGCCCATGCAGGCGGAAGTGCCTTCGGGCTTGTACCGGCGGCAACCGGGCAGACGGCCGCCGCCGCCGCCGCCGCCGCCGCCGCCGCCGCGCCAGGTGTCATTTTCTTTGCCGGCCCGAATTCCGCCGCGCCCATCACCCCCGCCCCCGCCCCCGCCACGAGCTCGCAGCCTCAGCAGCCCACCCCGGCGCAGCTAGGCGCTTTGGTCGTGAGCCGCGCCCCCGCCCCCGCCGTCGGCGCGTTCCCCGTCCCCGCTCCGAAATCGCCCGCCCCGGGCACCGCTCTCACCTCTTCCGGCCACTCTCGTTCCACCCCTTTGGTGTCTGTCGCCCTCCCTTCTTTTCTTGCCCCCGCGACGACTTCGGCCGCTCCAGCGACAACCCCTGCATTTAGCTTTGGCGCTGCGGCGGCGGCGACGGCGGCTCCCGCGACTACTGCTGCTGCGGCCGCCGCCGCCCCGGCGACTACCGCTTCGTCAGGGTTTAGTTTCGGGGCTGCTGCAGCAGCTGCTCCGGCGAAAGCAGCAGCGCCTGCCCCAGCAGCAACAACCACCGCAGCATCAGGGTTTAGCTTCGGAGCCACCGCTCCCGTGGCATCATCAACAGCAGCAGCGCCTGCCCCAGCGGCTGCAGCATCAGGTTTTAGTTTCGGCGGCGCCGCTCCCGCAGCAGCGACAGCAGTAGCACATGCCCCGGCAGCAACAACCGCTGCCGCATCAGGGTTTAGCTTCGGAGCTGCTGCTGCCGCGACGTCATCGGCAGCAACACCAGCACCTGCCCCGGCATCGAAAACGGCTTCGACTGCCCTAAGCTTTGGTACTCCCGCGCCTGCAACATCATCGGCAACGGCACCTGCTCCAGGCGTAGCCGCTCCATCAGGGTTTAGTTTTGGAGCTGCTGCTCCGGCGACGTCATCGACAGCAGGAGCACCTGCCCCAGCAGCAACCACCGCTGCCGCATCAGGGTTCAGTTTTGGCGCCGCCGCTCCCGCAGCAGCGACAGCAGCAGCCCCTGCTCCAGCGAAAACGGCTCCATCAGGGTTTAGCTTTGGTGCTGCCGCCCCCGCAACATCGGCGGCCCCAGCGGCAGCCGCAGCGACGTCATTTAGCTTTGGGGGGTCGGCGACGGCTGCGTCTGCTGCGCAACCGGCCGCCACTACCGCCGCTTCGACCGGACTCAGCTTTGGAGCCGCCGCTCCCGTAACTCCATCGGCAACGGCACCTGCTACTGCTCCGGCAAAGGCTGCCCCAACGGGATTTAGCTTTGGAGCCCCTTTACCCGCGACATCGGCCGCCCCGGCAGCAGCCGCGGCTGCTTCTTTGTCGGCGTTAGGAGCTGCTGCTGCTCCCGCAACAACGACGACCACCCCCGCAGCAGCAACTGCTCCTTCGTTTAGCTTCGGACCTTCGACGACGACACCGGCACCTGCTGTCAATAACCCGGCCGCCGCCGCCGCCGCCGCCGCCGCTACTACCGCCGGGGCAACGACGGCGAGCGTTCCGTCTGCTGCCCCTGCTGCCACGCCGGTGAGCACCAGTACCACCGCTGCGGTACCAAGCTCAGCCGCCGCCGCCGTCGCCGGCACCATCAGCGGGTTTAGCTTCGGGGCGTCGTCGACACCTGCACCTGCCGCGGCTACCGCCTCTACCCCCGCGGGGGCACCGTCTGCCGCCCCCGCAGCCGCTACCGGATCCTTCAGCTTTGGAGCAACAACGGCGACGGTCGCGTCGTCGTCGTCGTCCGCTCCCGCGCCCGCTCAGCCTCCTGCGGCCACCCCCGCACCCGCGGCGGCGACGGCTGTGACGGGGGCATTCAGCTTCGGGGCAGGGGCTGCGAGCGTTTCGTCAACGGCTGCAGCTGCCGCTCAGCCTCCCCCCGCCGCGACGGCGACCTCTGCGCCGGCTCAGGATGGCACCGCTGCTGCGCCGACCCCGGCGGCAGCGGGGTCGGGGTCGGGAGGTTTCAGCTTCGGGCGCACCGCCGTCGCGGCCGTGGGTGCCGCTGCCCCGGCCGCCTCTGCTGCCGCTCCTGCTCCTGCCGCTGCTTCTGCTGCTGCCAGTACGGCTTCCACGCCGGCCGCGGGTGCCGCTGCCCCGGCCGCCTCTGGCGCCGCTCCTGCTGCTGCTGCTGCTGCTGCTGCTGCTAGTACGGCTCCCGCGCCGGTCGCGACACCCGCAACGGCGAGCAGCACTGCCGCGCCAGCACCGGCAGCGACGGTGGCACTGGCAGCAGCGGCGACACCGACAGCGGCGGCCGGAGGACTGTTTGGGTCATCTGGAGTGTGGGTGGTAGTGGTCGTACCGGGGGGGGGGGGGGGTTGCCCGGGCTTCCGCTTGCGACGGCGGCGGCTCCTGCGGCGGCGGTGGCACCGTTAGCGTTCACGAGCGCTTCGGCCGGTGACCCTGATGCCGTCAACCCCGGCTCGGAGGACTTCTGGCGGAACGCCGACGACGAACAGGTGGGGTGTAGTAGCGAAGGTGTTGGTACCCCCCTACGCAAGCAGGAGCATTCTATTATCGAAGGAGCCTACTGCTGTCCGACAGTTTCACAGATTCCCACCCCCGGTATTTCCCATGTGGTGACACCTATATAAAGAAAAACCAGCGTTAACTACAGCAGCTATTCTTTTTTTTTAATATTTTTGGAGTGTCTGCGATGCAATAGTCGTGGTCCCTTTGCGGGTTTGTCCGTAACATGCATGGACAACCCACGTGACAAGGGTCTCACAGGGTAAGGAGGAGGGAGAGATGCATATGGAAGCAACGAACATGAGTTTGTCATAGTCTCGCGTGGTCAAAGCTGTTCGATCTGCACAAAGTGCCTCCTCTATCCAGTGTAGCTATTGTCGGCGCGCCCGCTCGGGTGTTTTTTTATTTTTCCTTGCCCGTGGGCAACATCTCTCCTGGCGCGTCCGGCCTTGCACACTGCATAGCCACGCCGGTCACATCCCATTCTTCAGCGATCGTGGCCTTAGCACGCCCTCCCTGTTGCTTGACCCCCGCCTGGGCCGGCGGAAACCCGGCATATCGCTCCTTCCCGGTAGTAGATGAGGTCAATGGCCAAACAACTGCGGCATGCGTTAACATGAGCACGCCCCCGCACCCCCCATTTTGTGTTCCTTCGTTCAGGTGTATTCACTGCTGAGCGCGCCCACGGCGGACACTCCGAGGCTGGTGGAGCTGGCGCTGTTGCAGGGCTCGGCGGGGCAGAGGATGGCCCAGGGGCTGGCGAATTACTACAAGAAGGTGTGCCACCCGCGCAACGCAATCAATCCGTGTGTTGCGAGCGGGGAGTTGTTTGTGGACTTGTGATAAAGACGTGTCGTTTCGTTGTGGTCGGGGCGGTTTCTTCGTGGTGTGCCTGCACGGCACGTGGCGGCGGACCTATGGAGTCGGGACTTTGGAGGGCGACCAACTGAAACCTGGCGTGTGCTCTCATTTTGCTCCGTGTGCTGTTACCGTATGCCACGCAAGACACCGCACCCCCCGCTGCTCCGGTTTTTGCAGCTCGGCTTATTCCCTCGTTTCTTCGCTGTCCATCTCACCCACCGTCCGTCCGTTCGGGGGGCCCACAGCCGAGCGCGGAGTCCCTCAAGAAGGTGGTCGATGGCAAGGTGGCGTTAATGGAGGGGGAGCAGGAGCGTTCTCTTCCCGGGGGCGAGGCGGAAGGGAAGTTCTGCGTCTCCCTTTCGAAGCTCCTCCATCTTGACGAGGTGGGACAGGGTGGTGGTGGGGGGGGTATTGACGAAGCGGGGCGGTGTGTTCATTAGTGTTGTCCTCGAAGCGCACAGTACTCGTGTTTGGTTGAGCGAAATCTCTTGGCGTAGACAATTAAAGGTTTTGGCACTTTGAATAGGACGGGTGCCCGCTATAGGGCGGGTGAATCAGCCTAGCATAACCCACCCTGTATTTGTCTAGAGGGCCAAGAAGTGCCGCAAACAAGCAAGAAACCTTTCATCATTTTCCCTCACGGTCCGGTCATACCGGTCCCAGAAACTTATGCCATTGGTAGCAAGCAGCGAACACAGGACCCCCCGACTCAATGCTGCGTCTTCTCGATGACGTGTGGTCAATGGTCCAACAAACGAAGGGATGCGAAACATGAGCACCCCCCCCCCGTACCCACTCAATACTCGCCCTCTCGAGGGACGCGTGGTCAGTAGGTGCCGATTGTGAAGCAGGGGTACAGGCGGGCCGTGTGGTACTCTCGCGGCATGTGCTATGTACACCAAGGGATGCCATACGTTCGAAAACGTGGTTCTCGATTGTTGCGCGAAAGAAACGCGACGGCTGCGCAATGCCTCCGCGTCGTATGTCTCCCTCGTGTGTGTGACACGTGACCCTGCCCCTCCCCCCTGTTACGCTCGGTAGGTTTCCACTCATGCTTTGTTGGCATAGAAAGATCTCCGTAATATCTGAGTGTAGCTCTGTGCCTCACAATCATTGCACCCCGCCTCCAACCCATGTATTTCCGTTTTCACAGGTTCAGTGTGTGCAGGTTCTGCACGCCTTCCTAAGGCGTAGGAACTCCGAGAGCCCGCGTGGGTCGCCCCCTGCGTCGGAGGGCTTGGACTTCTCGTCGCAGTTCCTTCTATTCGAAGTGAGAACTTGAAAATACGGCGGCAGTGGTGACAAGGTGTTTTGCTGTGTGTGTGTCCGTCCCCATCTATTCTGGCGCCGGTTTACAGGCCTTTCGTGGCGTATGTATCAGCCGGGGCCACACAAGAGGAAGGTGGCACAGGAGATTTTTCCATGTTTTTGTTGTTGTTGTTTCATTGCGTCACCTTTTTCCCCCTTGCGGTGCTGGCCTTGCTTTTTGTGGCGAGAAGAGTTTGGCCATCCCTTTCCCGCGTCCACCGTGAACGCGAGTTTGTACCAGAAACATCTGTCTACGACCGTTGACCATCAACCATGAAACGAACATCCATGCCTGTCTGTATCGTATGTACCCGATTTTACGTTGCGGTGCCCCCAAGGTCCGAGACTACTTCCGCAACCAGCGTCTAGCCCACCTCTACCTGCTGCACGAGCTGCTGAGGATTGATCAGGGCCCAGACAACAGGCAAGCGCATTTTCTTGGTGTTTTCCTTCGCAAGGGTTTATTTCGCGTATCTGCTGTGCTGGTACACGTTGCGTGGTGCGCGGCATCGGAGCCCGCTCGCCCTGTCAGCAGGCGGACTTCCTTCATTTTTTTTTTCACGGGACAGATCTTCGGTCGATTTTCGAAGCTCGATTTGTCTGCAGCAGGAAGCAGCCGTGACGGTGGCGAAAAAATGGCGTGTTCGAATCGTCTTGCCTTGAGCTGCGCCGAACGTTACGACCATTTGAATGTTTTATGTTCCATCCTCTTTTTTTCGTGGGGTAATCTAGCTTCGAAAGTCTAGTCCAGGGGGTGTGCTATCTTACGTCACATATGCCTCCCTACTATCCCCTCCCCTCCCCTCCCCTCGAAGAAACGCCGCAGCACTGGAGAATTTCGGCTGGACCGCCGTTGTTCGGTGGGCTCGAATCCCCCCGCCTTACATTGCCCCGAAAAACCGATCGCCACGGAAGGATACGACCCCGTGCTGTTGCCGCGTTAGCCTTGTACAGCAGTATCGTGCGTCAAGACTCTTCTCCTCGGCTGGATTTCGATCCGCCGTAGTATGTGCCATCGGTGAAACCTTAGCCTTCTCCGTCGATGTTCCAACGTTTCTTCACAAAAAAAAGTCAGCCTTCACCCGAAGGCAGAACAGGTGCTCGGCATGCACCCCCCACCCCCCTCCCCCCTTGCTCCAACCTTACCTGTATGAACTCCGTCCGTCGCGATGTTCCCACGTTTCCTCACAAAAATCTCAGCCTTCACCCGAAGGCGGAGCAGGTGCTCGGCAGGCACCACCCCGACCTGATGAGGGACCTGTTCGAGCTTCTGCGGGAGCTGTTCAAGGAGAACCCTCCCGTCGTCGTTAGCGAGAGCGGGCAGGGATGGGGGGGTGCCGCGAGGAAGCGGGAGTGGGTCGCTCAGCGGGTGGCCGAGCTGTCCGAAGTTGTCGGCTGCATGGTGATCGCGGGGTACTACCGCTACCGGGTGAGTGGTCGTCTCGGGGCCCTATTGATTGATTTGAGAGAACGGTCGTGGCTCCGTTACAAGAGGGTGGTGTGACAAAGGCCCTCGATTCTATGGGAGCCTCCTCTTATACCGGAATAAGAGGGTACTCAACTACTATAATAATAGTATGCTATAGAGGGTCGAGTCCGTGACGACCGATTTCGACCCTCTTATTTCAGAGCCCCGTCTTATACCGGAGTAAGAGAGTACTCAACTATACTACATAGAGTGCAGAGTCCGTGACGACCGATTTCGACCCTCTTATTTCAGAGCTCCCTCTTATACCGGATTAAGAGAGTACTCAGCACTATAAAAGGGTCGAGTCCGTGACGACCGATTTCGACCCTCTTCTATCGGAGCCCCATCTTATAAGGTAGATACCCTCCCTCTTGTGTCGGAGCCACGACGGTGGCTGATGCGCCGACGTGGTAGACTCGACCAAGAATGGTGAACTGGCGTCGGTCTTGAACAAGGCACGCAGACATCCTCTTGGCCATATACTACACCGTAGGTTGCGTGACGTAATATACCACACCCCCTGAACCGTTTTTCAAAGGTCGGTTACTCCTCGGCCAAGAGGGTGCCGAAGGCAAGCGATATGTGTTCGGAAAGTCCTTGACTCTCGATGCGACGGTCCAACTCCGCCATTTTCGGGACCGTCACTGCTCTCCCTGCCGAGTAATAGAGCTTTGGAAATCGGTCCAAGGGTGTGTGATATCTTACGTCATACAATACGGTAAATCCCCCCTTCCTTCAGATAAGCGCAGAATTTCTTATGCTTGCCCCCGTTTGGTAGGATCCGTCTGATATACTCGCTCTATGTTTTGGAGTCGTGGTGATTCGTATTAAAAAAATGCCACTGGGTGTGTTTGGCGGGGGGGGGGGGGGGGGGTTACTCTTCGTGGAGGTGTGGTGGCATATTCCATATTCGGTAGGATGGAACGGTTTTGAACGTGGCGGGACGGCGGTAACATTAGCAGCTCCCACTCACACCGCTGCTGTTCCGCGAAATGATGTCAACTTGGAGAGTAGATTGATGTTCTGGACTCATGGTGATCCGTGATGTACAAATTAGCGCTGGTTGTGGTGTGTGTGTGTGGGGGGGGTGTTCTATTCCATGGAGTTGGTACTGTATGTCTCATATTCAGTAGGGCAGTGGCAACACAACGAAGTTGTCCCTCACACCGCTGTTCCACGAAATGACGGAATGGGTTGTGTAGACGAAACGGAACGTTGTTTACCGCGGAGAGATGATAACGTTATCAACAACTTCTCCGTGACAATAATGTGCAACTGCCGGGAATAACGACGGTCACGGACGTTGAGCGAGACCAAACCAGCCCCGTGGTTGTTGTCGCAAAATCTAACGGACTCAAAGAATTAACTACGCCCAAACGATCGCAACAGGGTTTACATATCATTTGCTCTTGAACGTTTCGGTCCTCCCTCACATGACCATCTCCGCGCAATGTTCCCCTTTTTTAGGTGCAAGGAGACCAGGCACGGCTGGTGATGGACATGCTGTCCTTCATGCAGGAGGCGGACTTTTCGATGCCCCCAGCGTTCAGGGCGTACATTCCGGCAGCCTCAGAAGTCTCCAAGAAGGCGCGAAGCTTCAGGTAAGGAAGGTCGTATCTAGCTAGGGGTGCGAAAGGTTCGCGTGCTATAATAGTTGGCCCTGGTGGATGTGATGTGACTGCCGGATGGCTCTCACGGGACTGCTGCTGCTGCTGCTGCTGTGCATGTCATGCTCCCAAGTTTGTGCTTGTGTGTGTGCTCTCTTTGTATCCATTCTATTGTGTATGCGCCAGTCTATGCTCTTTTTCGTCGCATCTGCTGTTACTGTATTGGCGCAAGTCTATACTTTTCGGAACTTTTTTGTCTACACTTTTCGGTACTTTTTTGGAGCATGTGCCGGAGGTGTGGTCACAAATGCAATGCGCCGAATTTGTGTGTCTTGTCGTCCCCATCTATTGCCGCGCCAGTCGGCACTTTTTTTTTTTTTTTTTTTCGGCGAAAGGAGAAAGGTTTGTACAACAAGGGACTGTTTTTGTTGTTGTTGTCCCACCTTCCCCCTACAGGTATGGTGGTACTGCTGTAGCCTTTGGGTTTTCATTTTTTTCCCCATCCTAGGAGACAGATAAAAAAAACGTTTCTGGCACCAGGTTGTAGATTGGACGAAGACGTTCTGTTGGATCGGGATCAGGATTATCCACGCAGACAGCCATGGCAGTAGATCTGGTAGAAGTGCAAGCAATGGTTGTTAAAACGAGATGAGTTAATAATAGTCTCCCTTTTACACGACCTCGTTTGGAGTTTTTTTCCTGGGTCCGTTTTTTTTTTTTGTTCTAGAAAGATGCACCCTAGTTGGCTTGTGACCACGGAAGGCGTCTGCGTGTGTTGGACCAGTACGGACATTAGAGGGTACTGAGAGGAGACCGGAACGGTTTTTAGTGTGAAGGCAGCAATACAAGAGGCCCGCACCACTCTATAAAGAGAATACAAGCACCGCCGTCAGAAAGAAGCGGCGTTTCTTCCCCAAGCACCCCAACCCCAAAGCAACATGGCGGTGGCAGTTGTTTCACTTCCCTTGTTGGCCACCCAGCCCACAAACCAAACGACCCGCAAGGTAGGTGTGTACTTGTCCATGCAGCATCTCCGTACCCCCTGCATATCGCTCCGTCCTGGCATTGTAGAGATGCGAGGTCAATGGTCTACCGACTACGGCCTGCGTTTGCATGAGTACACCCCCCAAACAACGTGGTGGTTGGTGCCACAAGATATTGTCCCCCTCCGACAGCCAAATTCACACTACCCGCGAGGTAGGCATTTACCTGCCTAATGCAGCATCTCCATACCCCCGCCCACCTGACTGAACCGTTGCCCTTGTCCTACCAAAACCCATGTTATGTGCCACCCACCTGGCTGAACCGTTGTCCTTGTCCTACAAATCCCATGGTACGTGCCACCCACCTGGCTGAACCGTTGTCCTTGTCCTACAAATCCCATGGTACGTGCCACCCACCTGACTGAACCGTTGTCCTTGTCCTACAAATCCCATGGTATGTGCCACCCACCTGACTGAACCGTTGTCCTTGTCCTACAAATCCCATGGTACGTGCCACCCACCTGACTGAACCGTTGTCCTTGTCCTACAAATCCCATGGTACGTGCCACCCACTTGGCATACCGTTGCCTTTGTCCTACAAAAATCACGGTATGCGCCACCCACCTGGCTTAACCGTTGCCCTTGTCCCCCAAAAAACATTGGCATGTGCAGCTTTACCCTGGCGTTGCTGGGGATCGAGGCGCTGGACCTCCAGAAGGTGGACAGCCCAGACGAGATGGTGTTGCACCACGCACTCCTGAGAGACTTCAACGCCGACGACGCGTCCGTGAGACAGACCGCTCGAGAACGCCTGGGTGTCGTGAACGAGACCATAGCTGCCATGATGGACTCCCACAAGAGCGAGAGAAGAGCGGTGGGTTTGTTTGGCTTGAGTTTTTTTTTTCCGTTTTGACGGAGCCCCCGCCCCCCCCCGCCGGAACGGCACTTGGGCAGAGAGAAGAGCGGTGGATCTTCGACTCGAGTGTTGAGTGTTCCTTCTTATGACGGACCCCCCCCCCCCCCCCCAGCCGCCGCCGCCGCCGCCTCGCCGCCTCCGGTTCTCCGGAAGAGCACTTGAGCAACGCTGTGGCGTTTGGTTTTGACGGTTTTTGTCTTGCACATGGCGGTAAATGTGTCTTTAGTTTGTGCTGGTATGATGTCGCGATAAATATTTTTGTTCTTCATGGCACACAAATCGAGGCGAAGTTTACAGACATTTTTTTTTTTTGTATACTGCAGTTCAAGTTGCATGGAACCAACGGTGGACGTCATGTGCAAGGTAACTGTCGGTTGGTATTCTTTGCCTGAGTTTGAGAATGCAGGTAGAAAACCGTTTTCGTTTTTTTTTGTGGACGTTCCCACAATACGGCGCGCAGTTCAGAGACGGTTGCAGCACTATTTTTGTTTGTGTTTGAAGAGGCACGTGTCCTCCATTGCCCATGTCACGCCTTCTCTCTAACCTCATCATTTCGTCTAGTGAACTGCAATACATTCTTTCCCTTTCCGTTCGTGGACCAACAATAGTATCGCTATATTTGCTGACAGTTGGATGTCTCATTGTGTGTCCCGTTCGGTGTAGTCCGATCCGTTGTCTCAGAATTGCGCGCAGCTAGCTGCAGCCTTACCCTCTCCAGAGCCCTGCAACGTCTCGTTCAATGCCTACCCCTCCGCCATTCAAAACCTCGCGTGTACAGATTAGTACGATGGCGTGCAAGTGGGAACAGCCACTCTGTCAACTAAAGGACCCCAGCGTTGTTTGTTGTGTGCTCTCGCAGGCGAAGAGGAGGTTGCTGATCGAGGGGCCCAGCGAAGGAAGCCCGGAGATGATAGAAACACCCCAGGTGAAGACCAACAAACACCACTTCTTACTATTTTGTTGTCAGTTACAAGGGCGAACCACGTTTAGCCATAGTCTTACATGACACTAGCCAGGCCCTGCTTTCGACCTAGTTGGTTGTCGTGTCTGTTATCTTGGCGCGGGTCCTCAAGAGATGGGGTTGTGAAACATCGCCTCTCCTATCCAGGCTCTGTTTCGGCGTCATTTGTTGCTGTTGTTGCTGCTGTTGCTGTTGCTACTTTGGCGTTGAATTGACTCTTGCCTCCCCGCCGCGTGCTGGTTGGCCGTCGCTGCTGCTGCTGCTGCTGCTGCTGCTGCTGCTGCTACTGCTGCTGCTGCTACTGCTGCTGCTACCGTGGGACAGACGCTGGTAGTGGTCGCGTGGGGGGTTCTCCTTCGAAACGCCTGCATGGTCATCCCGGGCCTTTCTCAAGGGTGAGACCAGACTCTCCCCTCCTCGCACCCTTTCTTTTTGTGCAGTGTTTTCTTATCCTTGGGCAGACAGTCAACCAGTCATTCTCGTATCAGTCAACCAGCCAGTCATGAGACCGAGGCCATGAATCAGGGGGTAGTAGTGTATGATGGCGGAAGAGTGACCGAGGTGCTGGGTAGCGTGTGCGTCTACCGGCCTCCCTCGGATGCTCCAGTGACCGATCGATACGAAGCTGTTCACCGCTACCCCCCCCCCCCCCCCCCTCCCGCTGTCGACTATCGTTTACATGAGCTAGACGTACGTATGCATATCCGTTGAAGATCTCCGTAGACAGTGGTGACGTCACTACTGTAGCTGCCCGTCCCGGCAAACTGAACGCTGCACAAAAGCGGCAGCATGTCCCAACACCCCCACCTGTTTTTGAGGTCGTGTGTACCCCCATTCCTCCCGAAGCGCGCTTCCGCGGTGCCCCCGCGACGACTCTCTTGTAGCTGTCTTCCGTCGGCGAAAATCGCGTCAGACCTGCAATGCAGCGGCTACGGTTTTTTGGGAGGAGGGGCGGGACAAGCCCCAAACACTCCTGCACACCACGCACTATGAAATTGTATGTGCATCTCTCATAGCCGGGACAAGCCATTGTAACTCTCTCAAAGCCGCACTCTCTCATTTGCAATATCTCTCTTGAACCGTGACCGCTTCTGCTGTAAGGCGTTTGTGCATGTTTTCCCTCCACTACCCCGCCTCACCTCGCCTCACCTCACTACTCGCGTGCTCGTGTGCTCGCTCGTGAACAACCGTAGGTGGGGAGAGGACTCGGGAGCAGCGGCGATGGAGTTCGCGGTGAAGGAGGACGCTATCGCCTGCCTGGCGGAGGGGGTCAGGGGCCTCGCGGACACGTGGCAGGATACCTCGGGGTACGGCGCGGGGATCTGGGGAGCCGAGGTGAGAGCTATTTAGCCAGCCCTCGGAAGGGAGGGAGACCTGAAACGGCCGTGCGGTACAATGTACCAGCTTTGGGCGGTGTGTGCCTGTGCTTGCAAGAGAAGGAGGATTGGGGTGGGACTCTTGTGTAGTGCCGATGGGGTCCTCCCGAGACTGTTGATGAAAGCATGAGACGCGTGGACAACCTGCCAGATGACGTGCTATAATAGTTCAGAGATACGGTCGGCACAAGGTTCTCCTGGCGCCATTGACGGTACGGTATGGTGTATGGTGTGGTTGTATGGTTGGCTCGTCCGGTTCGGTTCGGTTCTCGGTTCTGTTCGGTTTGGTTCGGTTCGTTGCTGTAGGTTACGGTTGATACGGTTCGATTCCGTGGGTTGGTTCAGTACAGGGTTCGGTGCAGCATTCGGTACACAGAGTCAGTGACCCCCCCCC